TCTTTTCCTTTCCTCTACTCCATTCCCCTCATCTCAAAGATATGGTTAAGATTCAAAAATTAAATAATAAGTGTGTCTTATGTCTCAAAATAGATTACAACGTTCCAAAAGGCACATTAGGGCCTCAACCTGGCCTGAGTTGTACCCAACGGTATCTTGGACATGGGACAAGGCCAATTGCTCGGTAAAGATTTTTATTTTTTATTGTTTAGAGTAATATATTTGAATTAATGTTTATCTATCTTATTTGTTCAAAATTAGAAAAAATATTATTTTAAAACTATATTATTTCAATAAAATACTTTAACAAATGACAAAAAAAAATTAATTTATGCTTTAAAAATAAAGTATTTTAATCTTTTTCAATTAAAATTTATTAAAATGACATAATTTTAAAATAATTTTTCTCATAATATTTAAAAGATAAGGCAAATAGGCACCATTCCTAATATATTTATGCCCAAAATAATTTTTATGAGTTTTTTTATTTAACATTTATCTTAAATTAATTGTTATTTTTTAAAATTTCAAGAGAGACTAATAAATATTTTTTACTTTAATTTTATAGTCATTTCTTTATTTTAATTATTTATTTGATCATTAAAAAATTTTATTTATAATACATGTAAACACAGAAAATTTTCCTAATTAAATTCTTAATCTATAGAGAAAATAAAAATAAAAAAGTTATTTTGGTATAAAGGTGTTATTTTACTCCTCACCCTTTTTAGTTGTCAAAATCCTTGAATTTCATGTAAATTAACTTGATATTTTATATAATAAATTTATGGCAATTGAAAAAATTATTTGATTTAAATTAATTACTTAATAAGAATGACTACGTACATAAAGAAAACTTTTTTCTGATCGTCATTTAGGAAACTAAAAATGAGATGGTTAAAGAAGATCAAATTACACGATGGTTGATCTTATTCTAAAAGGAAGAAAAATTAGAAACAAATTATGTAATGATTGATCTAAGTATACAAGGAAAGAGTATTATACCATTATATTATATATATGGGTCAACTAAAAAAAATCAATTTACCAATAATTCAAGGTTGCTTATAATTTCATTAATAAAAGATTTTTGTTAGCGCAGTTTCTCCTATTAATGAGATTGATAATCAAAGGAAGAAAAAAAATTGCAGATGATGATATAAATTTTATTATTTTTTATTTAAAGATATGAAATTTATGGGTTTTTAAATAAAGTGATAAATTTTTAATTTTTTAATTTAAAAATATCAACTTTTTTTATTTAATGATTAATTTAATGGTTAAAAAAGTTATTTACTATATTAGCATTACTATTTTATGAGTTTTTAAATAAAGTGGTAAATTTTTAATTTTTTAATTTTTTAATTTAAAAATATCAACTCTTTTTAATTTAATGATTAATTTAATGGTTAAAAAAGTTATTTACTATATTAGCATTACTATTTTTTTAATCTTTAAATAGAA